TGTCCCTATCTCGTGAGTTTATCCCTTTATCTCTCACCACCTCTGATCTTCTCTTTAAGCCTTTCTCCCTGCCCGCTGTTCCCTCCATTCTCTTTATCACTTTGTCTTAGATTAACCTGTAGCTACAAAATGGAGATAATAATTGGGGAAATCACTAACCTTTCCGCTTCATTAGTCCAGAGCAGAAATTTGTTTACTTCTAGAAATGCAAACAGAACAGGACACGGCCAGTGTTTCTGAACTGCATCAAATATAAAATTAGAAGAACTAAAAAAGGCTTAATATTTTCACATTCAAGCGTTATTTGCATTTAGCATTTATCACTAGAGGAAAATGTAATCAATTACAGTAGTTCTATAGATTTCTTTTTTCTACCTCCTGAGTTTTAATAGTTGAAACCCTTGTGGGAAGTTTTCAAAGTTGTTGCAAATAAAGTTCTTCTTTCATTAGAGTCAGGAACGACCTATGACATCATAAACTCTTGCCTAGGATCCAGAGGGTAAAGCCCTGGACAGAGATGAGTAGTTGTGATATCAAACATTTGTTTAGCATCTTGTCGGAGTTCTGCAGGCCTTTAGTGAATGGACCCATTAATGAGCAGAGAAGGGCTAGTGCTCGAAAGAGCTGCACCCTTTCCCCTCTGATCTGGGAAACAAAGAAGTCCATTTTAGGGTGGTAAATAATAAGAGACCTTAATCTTGAATTTCAACCTAACTGGACTTCAGTCATTTAGAGTTCTATTCACCCAAAGTATATTTTCTTGTCCTTTCTTCTTAGAATTAATGGGAGCAAAAAGCCAGAATGTTTAAAACAACTGAATGGGAATGTACCTCCCCAAACTCCTCAGAGGCGTAACCATGAGGCAAAGTCTTATTAGCATCTACCCTGGCTTTTTCATTCTATTTGTATCTGAGAAAGAGGAGAGGCCACATGTGTTTTGTTACACGTTCCCTGAAAAAATGAAGAAGTGACAGGATATGAAAATGGTGGGTCATTTAATGAGCACATTTTAAGTGCCAGGTTTGTTGGAACTGTTTTGTGTACCTTGTGTATTTTAATCCTCAGTAGTCTTGTGGGTACCATGCATTATCCCCATTTCACAGACAAAGAAACTGACACAGTATCGAGTAACTTGGCCAGGATCACAAAAACAAAAAGTGGCAGAAACTTGAACTCATGAAAACTTGACTCTGGAGCCTGCCTGTTTATGTAGGTTAAATACCATTTTGAGGTAATCAAGATGATCTATCTGGGTTAAACACCCTTTTACTGTGAAGACTGTCTAAAGTGCCTACCACATAATAAGATCTCAATAAATTTAGTGAATGTTTACTTCTTGAATATAGAGATGAAAAGGTTCCAAAAGAGTTATTTAATAGAAGAAAGGATCCACTTGTGGTGTTCAGGGAGGCATCTCTTACAGGGTTAACCTGTTAAATCTTCAAAGGGTTTCTACCTGACAGGTAGAAAGGGACTCCTCTCCTGTATCAGGTGGCTCAAGTGGCCTCAAGTGGCTCTACTTGTCCATTCCACATTTCACCAACCCCTCCTCTGTCCTACCTTCCTGGGCTTTGGGGAAATTAAAAGTAGTTTATTATGAATAAGCAAGAGGTCCAAGGCGTTGTTAAGTTAGCAATAAGTGCTCAACGAACCAAGTATTATGGGCATAAGTGTGTCTGTTTTTGTTGGGAAGGGCTGTCAGAAGTACTTATGGCTTCCGTTGTTTTCCTAGAAGTAATGCAGGTGGACTTTTGCTAACCTAACCCACTCTAATCTGAGTTTACTCAACCTCTGGTGAGTTTGTGTCTACACCAAGGGGGTAGTCTCCCTGATTTGCGGGGAGGCTGACCCTATGTCCTCAGTGGAGTATCGTGAAGGAGGTAACCGGCCATACTCCAAGGCAACATCTGTAGTCCCGAGGTCCTGTTTGCAAGCCTTGCTCTACTTTCTAGAATTGCCTGAGGTATACGAATATTCACCTTTCCCCCTTCGTGTACAGGCAGACTGCAGTTCTCAAACTGAACTCAAGGGGGGAGCAACTTGAAACTGCGAGCCCCACAGCATCTCCTCTGGGTGACACTTTGCCTCGGCTATTGGAATGGCAGTTCATTGTCCAAGTCTTTTCGAGCTGCTTGGATTTGAAACTGGCCTCAAGGAAAGGAAACTGCTAATGCTGATTTATACATAATTTTCAGAAGTGGACTGGAACAGTCTCTTGATTTCAGAGTTTTCCGATGTGCCCTCATAGGTAAATAATTCCATGTTCAGAAGAGTTCAGAATATGCTAGATAAAAGAGCCGAACAGTTTTGGGTTTTTTTCCTGCAAGATCCTCAGAGCTTTTAACACGATGATGGGGATTGTGAATCTGCAAGAAGCAACGGGGACCCACGTATCTCCCAAACTTACTTCACTATGGAATCCACGTTTGTCAGACATAGCCGTGTGCCCAGGGCATCTTAGAAGTCCATAGTGGGTAAGGACACAGACAATGGATCCTGACTCTAAAATCCATTTCTACACTTACTATGCTCTTGAACCAGGTACTTAGTCTCTCTGCACCTCAGTCCTCTCATTTGCAAAATAATGATAATTGTAATACTTTCTAGGGTTCTTGTAAAGATTAAATGACCATACATATATCTCTACCTATCTGTCTCACATTACTAAGGGTAGTATGTGTCTGCTATAATTATGACTACTTATTCAACCCTTTATTTACAAATGATACGGGCCCCATCCCCATGTAAACTCCTGAAGTTAAAGTTCCTTGTGACCTTTCTATCATAAAAGTAACATCTGAACAAAGGAATTAATGTAGAGGCTTTGAGTTTGGGGGAAAACAACAGAGTTTCCAGTTGAAATCATCTGCTAGGCAGTATGGCCACAGTCATGATGAAATGAAAATGCTGACTTTGAGTAACTGAATAAAATAAAATAAAATAAAATAAAATAAAATAAAATAATAAAATGAAAGACAAAGGGAAAAGTGAACAGTGGCAAGAATCATTCTTGGATTCATCTGAGACTAGAGTGAAACAGAAAATGTCAAGTTGTATGTAATGCCCAACAGCAGACATCAAACACTTTACAATTCCAGCTTCCTGGATGTATGCTATGGAAAGAATGAAGGTGGTTACTCATGTCTAGCTGGGGAAGAAGGTGAAGAGAGAGCCATAGCAAAAAGTGGTGTGGGCAGCCAATTAAGATACCCATTCATTCATTTCAAGAATGAAACAAGTAAATGGATTTCATTCTCTAGATAAAAAAGATGAAGATCTGTTTTCTGTTTTCAGCAATTCACTGTCAAATGGAGGACTAGACAGTAAACAGCAAACTGTAATAAGCTTCAGGATAAAGGTACTAGCAACAGTCTGGTGGAATCCCAGAAAATAATTCCACTAAAAAAGTAAGAGGTGAATCTTGGATTGGAAGCAGGTCTCAGGGTTGGGTGAATCCTGAATAAACTGTTTGATGCTCATTTGCAGAGACAGAGGGAGAGAGAGAGAGAGAGAGAGAGAGAGAGAGAGAGAGAGAGTGTGTGTGTGTGTGTACAATATAGGAGGAAAGACATTCTAGAGCAAGTGATTCGGTTTGGGAGGCTGTGAGTGAGCCATGCTGAGTAAAAACGGGAGGCTTGATAGCTTGTCCTTCAACAGACGCGTCCAAAATGACTATATAAAGTAAATACCATAAATCACTGTTGTCAGGGCGCACACTCCACCTCCTCCCTCCCTTCCCCACAGCCGTCCTCATTTCCACACCCCCTCAACGGTTCAGGGAGAGCTCGTGGTCTAAGTAAACGAGAGGACTTCTGACTGTAATCCTAGCACGTCACTTTGTTGAAGGCAAACACGTGGTTCAGGGAGAACTTATAAATCTCTCCTCCCAGGCAAGATCGTGATGTTATCTGCTGGCAGCAGAAGGTCCGCTCCGAGGGGAGCTCCAGAAGCTCCCGACGAAAAAGAGAGAGAGAGAGAGAGAGGCAGGCAGACAGGAGAGAGAAGCAGAGACCGAGAGAGAGAGAGAGGCAGAGAAAGGAACAGAAGAGCAGGAGCGCAAGTGACGGAGACACGGGGACAGGGATGGGGAACATAGTATAACGGTCTAGGGAGCCATTCGGGAACAAAGTGAGGAGCTGCCCGGCTGCAGAAAGGAAAAGGACAGGGTCTCTTTCAGGGTGCCAAGTGCCCACCTACCCGCAGCGAGAAAGTCCGAGTGGGAGAGAACCCAGGAGAGGGTGGGGAAGGGTGAGAGTCCAAGGGACCCCTCTCGCAGCCCCATTAAGGAATAACGCTCCCTAGTCAGCGCGTCCCCGGGGCTGCAGGCGACGGCGGCAGCTGGTCGTCGGTGGCCGGGTTGGCGTCCGGAGCGAGCGGAGGAGGAGAAGCAGGAGAAGGAGGGCGCTGGAGGCTGGACGCGTCTGCAAGCGGCGGCACGACGTGGAGTAGCCGGGCGGGTCGGCGCGCGCCGGCCGGGGTGTCGGCCACCGCGCGCAGCTCCGGGAGCAGGATCGTCGCCGCCTCCGCCGCCGCCGCGGCCCGCGCAGGACCCGACCGAGTCCCG